GAATGGGGAGGGGGTGAACGAGGAAGGCTAAAGCCTTCATCCACCGGACACTTCTTCGATACTTCTATTTCCTCCCCTCGCGGTTCTTTTCAAACCATAAGTAGGTCTCCCCCGGTTCTGCTTGGAGAGAAAACACAGAAGTTGGGCAGGATATGGTACTTTTCTACGAGCTTTTTTCAGAAATTGTCTCCTTCTGCGATTGCGACCAGTAGAATGATTAGATACTTCATGCAATAATGGCTTAAATCGTTCAGATGAATTTCCAAACGGGCGTTTTTTCAAACTTTTGTCGCCTTCCGACCTACACTCTGTTTGGGTTCGCTGCAAGTGTGGAAGGGATGGGCTGCAATCGCACAATATGCGCAAGAATTAATTTTGTGAGCAGCATCGTTTGGAAAAAAAACAGGCAAGATGTTCTATGTGAAGTCTTCACTTATTAGTAAAAGCGACTGGTACCGTGCTATTACAAATAGGGAGAGAAATTCAAATTAAAAAGGCTCAATCTATACCTCTAGGCTTCCCAAATCCCTAGATGACCTTGCAAAACCAAAATCTTTTGAAGATTTTTTAGAATAAATTGCTTCAGCGAGCTTTTTATTACGCCCGCAGCAAATCCTCGCCCTCTAAAATGAATCGAAATCGGGCCGGTGCTTCCATCCATCGGGTGACAGACAATTAACATTCGGGAGGCGATGAGTCACATGGCGTCGGCCATAGCGCTCATCTCCTCGCTCTGCCCTCCTCGCTTCGAAGACGAGCAACGGCAGTTGGTCTTGCATTTGCTGCCTTAAACTCACCTGTTGCAGTTTTTCTCTGCACTTCCCAAATCCCAAGGGTAAAAATCGTCCTTTCAAACAAAAGTCGACAACGAGCTATTTTTTTTCCAAGAAAAAACTTTTTGCCCCGAACACGCTTATGAGATTTCCGGTACGAAGTGTCATCCCATTAGTCTCACCTTTCATTACACATTTGTTGGCGTTTATTGGCACACATTCACTAACGCTGTAATTGCACCTCACACACCTGTGTTTACGACGCGAAATCACTTTGTTGCAGTTGAAATGTCTGGATGATCGCTTATCAGGTGTTAGAATCAGCTGATTTTTTAAAACTTTAGGTCTTATTCGATACTTTGCTGATGTTATCCCTTTTATTTGTTTTTTTTTTCTTGGTTGGCGCTTTTCCCCCTTATTTACATGTTTGTTTACTTGTCTATTTTTTTCTCTTCATGCCAGTTATTTGCCAAAGCATCAATCAAATAAGTGAATTTGACAAGTCGACTAACGAATTCTTCCAGGTGTAGATGACACCGTCATTAAAATGATTTGTGCTATGTTGATGAAGACAAAGGTTCAAAAAACTTTTTTCCTGTTGCAACTTCAAGTTGCTGTTTTCTTTTGAAATTGGCTTACAAAAGTTATGGAAGAGATTACACTTTCCTCGTTAAAAGAAAGGAATTTTGAAGCCCATTGATTATGTAGTCATAAATTCATATCTGTTGTTAGTGTAAAGGCACTATTGAATTTTCCAACATTCCCTCTTCGAAATAGTTTCAATAAAAACTCAGATTAATCAATATTTTTCTATCCTTTCTGGTAATTCATCCTCTTAAACTTTGAAACCATTTCTTTAATGGAAGTTAAGCTTCCTTTGAACAATCAAAATTTTTTTCTGATCCTAAGTGCTCAATTGGTATTTATTAATTATTCACGTCGTGATAGCTAGGGTCATCGAATTCTAGAATACAAATAAATGTTATCATTCGAACGTTCCATTCCTTTCCTATGAAATCAATGGCTGCCGGGAAATTGACGTTACAACTTGTTTCTCGGCAAACTTGATAGCATACATCTTTTTTTTTTGTCATGCTGATTTGCATAGCATCTTTTAGGTTTCGAGTAAGGATGTAAGGAGTTCTTTAGTTTTCAACATTGCAAATTGTTATGTCTTGATGCTAATTTAGCAATTAGAAAGGAACATTTGCGCTCCGTGCAACTCAAGATGCATTTCAATTCTAAAGTAAATTTAAAAAAAAAAACGCAGAAGCCGCTTACAAGTCACCCAAACCCCAGAAGTTTGCATCACATTGTGGTTTTCAAAGCGAAGAGAAAGTCATAACCGTCTTTCTCCTTGCTTCCAATAACTTATTATTCTCTACTTTAAGCTCATTTTAGAAGTTTCTGGCTATAAATTTCTGAGTTCCCAAACACGCGAATTGCTGCAGAAATTGCTTATTCTGAATAATGGTGCAGCATAGACGCGCTACAATGCGGCTGCGAGCGTTGATCTTTATTTGCACGTAATGCAAGATCCTTTTTTTTCAAGGAAGCATTTAATGTTTAGTCATCGTTTGCAAATGCTTCTCACCTCTGCCATTTTTTTCTCTAAGATATTTTTTTAGACTAACAAATGATTTCACTGTTCTGATGTTGACACAAGGATGAATGATGGGGATGGAAAGGAGTCGCATGGTGACTCGAACAACTTTCTCAGAAAGTTTGAGGCAATTCTACACACATTATTTGAAGAATATGGAAAGAAACCAACTTCTTCTAAAAGTCTGACAGACAATCAGAAGAGCATCGCTCGATGTTTGCAAGAACTTATTAGCTCTGGAGAATTGAAAATTGACAAAGCGTAAGTTACCTAATTGACGTTCTATTTTTTTTAAACTTTGATTTAAATATTTGCTCTTTTCTCTGTTACCAGTTTCTTCAATTTTTCTAATTTTCAAACGCATTCCGTTTATTTAAAAACGACACGGTACCACTAACAAGCGACGCGGTTGCACGCATTGAATTGTCCTTTGACCACGAGCTCCAATGTTGGACATGTTAAATTACGTATTTGAAGTAAAACTTTTCAAATATGGTGATTTTTCTGCTTCTGTTGAATTTTGTTGTTACAAAAATTTTGTTCTTATCATCAGCAAAGATTGCCGTGCACTGCTATGGTGCAAAGCGGTTGATTTCCCAGCATTGTTTTGCATGTTGGTTGTTTTCATGTCATTTGACATTCTGCTACATCTTTTATCAGGTAGATGTTTGAACATATCAAACATGCAATTGAAATGCAACCACACCGCGTGCCAGACTTTTGTTACTTTTTGAATGGAACAATGGGTTGTGATTAAAGACTACATCGTTTGCCTCTTTTTTTATTATACCCGTATCAAATCAGAATAAACATTTTGTCTCTTTTTCCCCTTTTATACCACTTCAAACAAGTTACTTCTCTTTTTAGTGTATTTTTC